GAGAGAGAGAGAGAGAGAGAGAGAGAGAAAGATAGAGGGAGACTTTAATTTAAGGTCAACATGGAATTAATAAGCCTGGACCCCAACATATTTATTAGCGCAGATAAAGAAAAGAGCTGCTGAAATGGATCATATAAGCATATCAACATGGTTATTATTAATACATTAAAACGCCATGTCAAAAATAAGATACATTATCCAGAATAGAGCAGATTTAAACATATTTTGTTTGCAATATTTCACAAATTATTCGTAGGCCTATTAAAAGCCTCGCCGTCAGAGGTTATTTTAATATATACTAGACAATGGTGAGTTTTCTTCTGCATGTACTCAAAGTTTATAAGCTAAAATAAATCAAACGAATAGAAAAAAAATAAAAAAAATCCCTCTTAAACTTAAAAAAACAAAATAGGGGTATACGTTGTTTCACGAAGAATTACTGAAATATTTAAAAAAGAAAGAAAATGCAGAAGGAATTAGACGATGCCAATACTGCTGTAATACGTTTAAACAGACTTAAAGAGTGGTGAACAAACGAAAATAAACATCAAACAGCTCAGCTGCTCTGTTGCATTTTTCATTCACATCTGCAGCAAACGGGGAAATGTCGGGTCTTTACCTGCACATCTATTTATCTGATCATTGCCATTCAATTTGTGTGACCAGGCAGAAATTACTGCTGGATTAAGAAGGTTTTTTGCTTGATGTAAGGACAAGGAAAACTGAGGAATTAGAAATAATGTCAATATTCGAGTCCATTCAGAACCGAGGCCTTATCAAGTATCTATCGAACAACTCGAAAATCCGTTAACCAAACGAAGCTTACACATGTAGCCTTGTCTAAGGAAAATTCCTTAAAATAGATCATAATTAACGTGAATCGTTTTCTTATAAAAAATAGGCTCACAGCTGCTTTCATGCATCCCAATAACTCACAGCACCACCACTTCAAGGTGCATACAGAAGTTGTGATCTATCAACACATGGGGGCGCTCTGCACCAAGTGAACGATGTCATCACAACAAGGAAGGCAGAGCGCGGACACACACAGAGACACACACACACACACACACACACGGAGAGAGGCCGGTGAAAGTAACTTCCAAGACTCAGTGCTCTTAAAACGGAAAATGAGCAAAGGCCTAAAATCAATGAAAATATCACGTATAATAATTATTTTTATTGTAATTATTGATATAGGCTACGTATTTACAACAATTAGACAACACACAGTGGCTGCGGCAGCCTCTCTGCGTAGTTTCGATCTGACCTTTCTTTTCTCCGAGAGACGGAATAGTTGCGAAAGTTGCGCGGCGCTGCGGAGAGCCTCCAGCTGCAGTAGCACTTCAGTCCCGGTGGAGTTGGCAACACAACCCATAGTCGGTCGACCGGAGAGGGACCGGGGCGCTGGAACAGACAGGGCCGGAGAGAGGAGGTCGCGGAGCGGCCAGGCGTGCGGCAGACGGTCGGTGATCTCTCCCTGTGGTTGAATGAAGCCCGACGCTCCTCTGCTGGGCTACTCTCTAATCTAGTCAGTGAGCGCGTCTTTGATGATGATGAGTCTCTCGCTCGCTCTCTTTCTCTCTCGCGCTCTCTCTCTCTCTCTCTTTCTGACTCTCACTCTCTCTCTCATTAGTGATTCCCTATTGCCCCTCGGTGCGCTCTCGGTTACCCGTCGGCCACTCCTCCTCGTCTTATCTCCAGCCAAAAGGATTGAGGGATCTGCGGCGCAGACCCCTCCCCGCATCTCCGATCCCAGCCGCTTTGGCCGCTTGATACATCTGTTATTGATGTAAATAATGGATAAAGCAACCTGACAGACTTGCACTCACTCTATCGGTCAATCTATCACTCTCAAACGCACGGGGAAAATACACGCACGCGGAAATATATATATAGCCAAATATATATATATATATACAGAGAAAAATATATATATAAGCACATAAATGTATCGCCTAGGCATTTTTCTGATTAACGTTATTTAGGTTTGATTAAAATGTAGAACCATTATTTCGTTCAATTTCTTCCAGTCTGGCCTAGACGTATACCTGCACAACGGCATTGATCAATTCTTCAAGTTTGGATTTATTTGTGGTCAGCAGCCCTAAATTAAACTGGGATGGTTTCAGGCGATATTTTAATACACCTTGCGAAAAATAAAAAAGTTGTATTAATTCACCATCAAACAATTATTTAGATTATTCATTATTCATATAATTATTTAGATTTTCTTAATCTATATCTGTAGCGAAAAAAAGAAAAGAAATAAATGTTCAATACGCGAGACACGAAAATGTGCATGGAAGAAAAACACTTGAATTAACTATAACAACAATGTAATATGCTATTTAAGTAATTTCACAATTGTTATGTTATATATCTTGCTATTCGTTTATTTTACATATTTTAAAATAGCTTCATTTGTGATGTTAATGACATAATCAGCAAATGTCTTTTTTTTTCTTTTTAATGATCTAGTTAATAAATGAGGACATTTTAATTACATTCCTAATAAATATTTGACATGTCTGCCATATTTTGAATATTTTATGAATCTTTGTTTGTTTGTGTGTGTATTCTACAGTAGGGCCTGGACACTCAGATCTGTCTTGAACTCTTCCCATCTCTGTCCAGTGTTCAGGGGACAGATGCCTCATCGATCAATGCCAGCAGTAGGGCCCACAATAATCCCCCACTGTGGCCTCAAACACACACACACACACACACACACACACACACACACACACACACACA